GGCCTGGTGCACTGGGAAGACCCAGAGGGATGGGGTGGAGAGGGAGGTGGGAGGGGGGACCGGGATGGGGAATACATGTAAATCCATGGCTAATTCATTTCAATGTATGAGAAAAACCATTGCAATGCTGTAAAGTAATTAGCCTCCAACTAATAAAAATAAATGAAAAAAAAAATAAAAAAATTAAAAAATAAAAAAAATAAAAAATAAAAAAAATAAAAACTATTTGGTGGCAAAGGACTATTTTATGCCTTTAAGTAAGAAATAGCAAAATCACCAAATGTTTGATAATTAGTATATTTCAATATCTACATTTTGCCAAGGCAATTTATTTTCTTTTACATTTTTATTCATTTTTGAAGCAATTTAAAGCTACTGAAATTAATGTATTGTTCACTGAAACTTCCTTATTCCATTTATTGATGACCCTGCAACACAGCAGTGACACAATATGTGGGACCTGGTAGATTATTAAGTAGCTTAACTCATAATTCATGCACTTTAATCTCACCCTTTAGCCAGAAAAAAAAGTAAGGAACAATACCTTGTGTAGCATGAAATCATATCACCTTCCTAGGTAACCACAATGAGACAATTTCTCTAAAAATGTCTCCTATCCCCCACACAATTTTTTTTTTTTTAATTGCAGTAATGGGGACTTTCTGGCTGTCCAGTGGTTAAGGCTCTGTGTTTCCAATGAAGGGGGAATGGGTTCAATTCCTGGTAGAGAAACTAAGACCCCACATGCCACATGGCCAAAAAAAAAAAACAAACAAAACAAAACAGTAATAGAATATCAAAAAGATCACTGCGCATATATTTTAAAGGATACGTTGCAATGAATACTTCAAAATATACAGACAGGGACCTTTTATATATTCTATGGCTTATTATATGACAAAATTTTTTAAAGAAATTTCTTTCCTCTGAATAAATTCTAAACCTGTCTTAAATGACAAAAAATTAGACTGTCTATAGGCAATAACATTTATAATGTAGCAAGATTTTCAATTTTCAGTTTAGTTGCTCAGTTGTGTCTGACTTTTTGTGACCCCACTGACTCCTGTCCATCACCAACTCCTGGAGCTTGCTCAAACTCAGGTCCATACAGTCAGTGACGCCATCCAACCATCTCATTCTCTGTCATCCCCTTTTCCTCCTGCCTTCAGTCGTTTCCAGCATCAGGGTTTTTTCTAAAGAATCACTTCTCATCAGGTGTCCAAAGTACTGGAGCTTCAGCTTTAGCATCAGTCCTTCCAGTGAATATTCAGGACTGATTTCCTTCAGGATTGACTGGTTTGATCTCCTTGCAGTCCAAGGGACTCTCAAGAGTCTTCTCCAACACCACAGTCCAAAGGCATCAATTCTTTGGCACTCAGCTCTCTTTATGGTCCAACTGTCACATCCATACATGACTACTGGAAAAATCACAGCTTTGACTATACGGACCTTTGTTGGTAAAATAATGTCTCTGCTTTTTAATATGCTGTCTAGGTTTCTCATAGCTTTTCTTCCATGGAGCAAGCATCTTTTAATTTCGTGGCTACAGTCACCATCTGCATTGATTTTGGAACCCAAGAAAAGAAAGTCTGTCACTGTTTCCATTGTTTCCCTATCTATTTGCCATATGCCATGATCTTTGTTTTTTGAATGTTGAGTTTTAACTCAGCTCTCTCTTCTTTCACTTTTACCAACAGGCGCTTTAGTTCCTCTTCACTTTCTGCCGTAAGGGTGGTGTTACCTGCATATCTGAGGTTATGGATATTTCTCCCAGCAATCTTGATTTCAATTTGTGCTTAATCCATTCCAGCATTTTTCATGCATATAAGTTAAATAAGCAAGATGACAATATACAGCCTTGACATACTACTTTCCCATTTTGGAACCAGTCTGTTGTTTCATGTCTGGTTCTAACTATTGCTTCTTGACCTGAATACAGATTTCTCAGGAGGCAGGTAAGGTGGTCTGTTATTCCCATTTATTTAAGAATTTCCCATAGTTTGTTGTGATCCACACAGTCAAAAGCTTTAGCATAGTCAGTAAAGCAGAAAAAGACGTATTTCTGGAATTTTCTCACTTTTTCTATGATCCAATGGATGTTGGTAATTTGATCTCTGGTTCCTCTGCCTTTTCTAAATCCAGCTTGAACATCTGGAAGTTCACGGTTCACATATTAATTGAGCCTTGCTTGGAGAATTTTGAGCATTACTTTGTTAGCATGTGAGATGAGTGCTATTGTGTGCTAGTTTGAACATTTTTTGGCATTTTTCCTTCTTTGGGATTGGAATGAAAACTGACCCTTTCCAGTCCTGTGGCCACTGCTGAGTTTTCCAAATTTGCTGGTATGTTGAGTGCAGCACTTTTACAGCATCATCTTTTAGGATTTGAAATAGCTCAGCTGGAATTCCATCACCTCCACTAGCGTTGTTGGTAGTGATGCTTCCTAAGGCCCACTTGACTTCACACTCCAGGATGTGGCTCTAGGTGAGTGATCACACCATTATGGTTAGCTGGGTCATTAATATTTTTTTTGTGTAGTTCTTTTGTGTATTCTTGCCACCTCTTCTTAATATCTTCTGTTCCTGTTAGGTCCATACCGTTTCTGTCCTTTATTGAGCCCATTTTTGCAGGAAATGTTCCCTTTGGCATCTCTAATTTTCCTAAAGTCTTTCCCATTCTGTTATTTTCCTCTATTTCTTTGCACTGATCACTGAGGAAGGCTTTCTTATCTCTCCCTGCTATTCTTTGGAACTCTGCATTCAGATGGATATATCTTTCCTTTTCTCCTTTTTGTGGAGGGTTTCTACAATACGTGGTCCACTGGAGAAGGGAAGGGAAACTTCTAAATGCTTAGAAGTTTCTGGTGCTGGTAAGTACTACATAAGTAAGGACATACAATTTACATCCAAATAAAGTCACTTTTAAGAATGAAAGGAATGTTATCAATAGTTTCATCAGGATGAAAGGTATAACCCAGGGCAGTTCCGAATGAGTGGGGATTTACTTTTACCTTAGGTTTAACAGATGGGTGTTATTATTTTTGTGGCTATTTATTTTCCTCAGTCTGATGTTTATTATATGCAATAAATCAGAACTTGGAGAAACTTTTCTTTGGAAGAGTATCTTGGATACACATTAACAGGATACACATTAAGTGATGCTTTGCACATGGTAGAAAGAAATGAATTAATAAAGAGAATGGTCTGTCAGGAGAGACAGAGATCCTCATTACACAGGTCTTCTAAAGTTGGGACTCAAAATCATCAGAGATTTCAGATGGGCTTAAGGGATTCTTTTAACATTTGTAAAGTACAATACAAATTTTGTATGAGTGAGCATGTTGTGCTTTTAGGTGAAAGAGGTTTAACTTTAAAGTTACTATATTCTTTGGGGTCCATAAACCCCACACAAGTTAAGAAACTACTAATTTAAATATCAAATATATTAATACCATGCAAATTAATAAACAGAGCTCTTTGGCATATTTTGGCCAACTCAGATCTATGGATCTAAAACCCATAAAAAATCATGTAAGTCCAATTTTCAATTTAAAAAGATCTAGTATGTAATTAATAACATGAAAATTATTTAATCTAATGCAAGAGCAAAAGGACAAAAATAGGTGATATTTCATTTGGTCATTCTTTCCTTTATCAACTAAACATTTATTGGACACAGTATGTTCCATACATTTTGCTAGGCAGTGGATTAAAGCAGTGAGGAAAGGACTTTCCAGTCAAGCGCCTTCCATCATATAATTTATAACCAATTAGGAAATATGATATGAAACAAATTAATTAAAACCTCATATGTATTCAAAGATCAAAAATGTGCTCTGGAGAATTACTAGGGTTCTCAGGCAGTAAGGAGAAAAGTTAAAGATTCTGCTTTTATATATTTGAACATAAAGAAAAGTAAATGAATGAATACATTTAAGATTTCATTTAAAGAAAAAGTCATAATACTAAAACCCCACTGGATTAGAGTTTTAGACAATTTTACAATTAAAATTGAGTTGAACAATCTGTCCTTAAATTGTTAGTATAGATAGACAAAAAGACAATTGATAGATAGTTGATAAATGAAAGAAATGATACTGTAGTAATCAAAACTCCATATCTATCTATCATCTATTATCTATCTAGTCTTTCTCTCTATTGATTTATTGTTGTATTTACTAAACTCTGACATCAGCATAGGTAGACATAAAAAATATAGCAGGATGTGATGCCAGTTTCTCATTAATAAGTTCCTTAAAACAATTTAACTATCTCTACCTAGATTTTCCAAAGATGTTTCAAACTCACAAATGTCTAAAAGAGAACTCCTTCACTTTCTCCCTCTCTGCCTCAATTTTTCTCATTAACAGCATTTGGTCTAAAATCCTGAACTGTAATTGATTTGAACTCTCACTCATTATCCTGATGGATAATAACTCTCAATTACCATTCCTTCTAAATGTCTTAAAATCTATTCACTCTTCTCAATTTATATTCTATTCGGTTTTAAGTTGTCCAATGTAGATACACAGCTAACTTATATTTCAAAATCTAGTGAGTATGCTAAACAAATGCCTATTGAATTAAATAAATGAATGAGTAAAAGAGTGACAAAATCAGAGAAGGTAAAAAACAGTGGTAAAGGAAGAGATCTGCCTGCAATGCCGGAGACCAGGGTTTAGTCCTCAGGTCGGGAAGATCCCCTGGAGAACGGATTGGCTACCCACTCCAGTATTCTTGCCTGGAGAATTCCATGGACAGAGGAGCATGGCAGGCTACAGTCCATGGGGTTTCAAAGAGTTGGACATGACTGAACAACTAACAGTTTCACCCCATCAACATTTTCACAAACAGAGATGTGGGACACTCACAAGGACAAGAAATACCCCATTTTGGCAAGATTTTCTATCATGACATGTATATTATGGATTACTTCCTTGAAGAAATATTTTGCGTCAATACAAAATATATTCAGAGGACTTTAAATATGTTATATTTCAACTTACGTATTGAAATATTTTTGTACATTGACCTAATATTATTACTTTGCATTTAAAAATTAGCCCTCAGAAATTTACTGAATGCCTAAAATGTGCAATGTACTTTGTTAGGTTCCACAGGGGAGATAAACTATAGGCTCTGAAATACTTCACAGCCTTAAGTTAAAACTTCAGAGCTACATTGAAAATGTCTTAAATGTGAACCAGAGAGGAAGCAATAAAGCATAATACGTAAAACTCTTCTCTTCAGTGACCCTTTGGATTTGCTGACTGATCTCGACCACTGGAAACCATTCTTTCACTTTCTGTGACAGGGCACAGATCAGAATATAGTCAAGACATAGATGACTAGCATCTGCTAGATGCTTTCTAATTCAACAGAGAAAGACTTACATATAGAAAGATATATGGAAAGTAAATCAGAAAAGCAATGTATTTAGTATAGCTCTTTACATATCAAATAGAGAACACTAACATAGAGTTACAAAGAAATCATGAAATTCATAGGTTTATATATATGAAATTCATAGATTCATATGTTTCTTTAAGACCATCCACATACTCTATGATAAAAATTTAAACTGATCTCTCTATATATGTCAAAGATAATTAATTACCACCAGGGTTGTTTTTAATCATTTAAAACATACTAAAAATATAACCCCAAGCACAATAAAAACATAATTAAGTGCCTTGTATTATGATCTAACTCAGGTTATACCAAAATACCATTTTTCATGAAATAGTTTTAAATGCAAATAGTGATGCCTTTAGTAGTCTACTCTGAATTATAAAGTAAAATATATAATTAACTGAACTTGGTACATACATATAAACAAAAATTCTTCGGTTATTAAAATTTCTAGTGAGCTTGTTAAGATATATGATTTCACATAAAGAGTTAATTAAACATTTAAAATGTACACAAATGTAGCAAAGAATATTGGTTTGTTTAGAAAGCTTACTAATCTCGTTAGATCGGCTAGGTACTGGAGGCGGCTGCATGCCATTGTGAGTCGGTACTGAAGACTGGGGTGATACTGGAGAAAATGGAATCATATCAAAGATGTCAGTAGAGGGCAACTTAGGTGTCACGCCGCCTGCCTGCAATGAAGACAACATGAATTAGGGTAGTATTCCATGTGGACACATTATAATGAAGAATATTTCACATACATATAAAACACATGTGAACCCAACACATGCAGTTGAGTCATATGAACTTGCCATTCTGTAGATCAAAAATGGTTAAGTAGGCAATTTCATACGAATTAACCACATATGCCAAATGCTCATTGGCAGGAAAATCTCTACAAAAATGTTATTAAAGATGATGGCAAAAATGGTGACGACACTTCTAGAGAGATGTATCTTTTATATTGGATTTTTTATATATCTAGAAATAACTGCCATTTATATCAAAGAATTGGAAACATGCTACAAACTATTTATATAAAATCTTGATATCAGTAATGCATTTTGTATAAGATTTAGACAGAAATAACTGAACTTAAGTGATACATCTTAAATATAACCACTCAAAAGCAATTGATAATGATTTAAAAAAAATTTCAAGGAGTCTATTTTAAATTGTATTTATAACTCTAGTGACTGCCAACTATTATATTCATTGCAGTGACATTCTTGGAATAAGTTTTCATCAAGTTTTCTACAATAAATAGCTATCTTGTAAAATAAATTATAGTCACTAAATATACCACCAAAATGGTTAAATTATCCGGGCCAATCTGGGCTTGGACGTAATGTCAGAATGAAACAATCATCACTTTACATAATATGTAATTTTATATGTAAAATCACATAATATGTAATTGTCATGCAGGGAAGAAATTATTTATATATATATGTGTGTGTGTGTGTGTGTGTGTGTGTGTGTGTGTGTGTGTGTGTATTATATATCATCTATAAACCAAGGACAATTTTCATTTTGGAGAGAAATAGTGAGGGGAAATTAACTTTTCCTATAAGAACATGAACACTGCTTAGAACTGCCTAGAGTGGTACACATTAAAATTTGTGTTTTCAGAATACATTTTTTTGATTTATAGGTGATGTAGGTAATGAAAAATAAGGCTGATTGTGTGTAAAGAGTGACTGATTTGCTATTCAGTGTACATGACTGTTATTACATTTTTTCATGCAGGAAAATAAAATAGCTGACATCTTCCTTTCTTTAGCAACTTACTTTCACTTTGATAGTTTATCAGTCACAAACACTATACAAAGACTTGGAGGAAACTTTATCCCTCAGCTCCTCCCTCCTACTCAGGAATGTTGTTTTCCTAATCAGCCTGTCCCTCCATTTACCCTGGCATTCATCTCTCTCCTCTTTGTCAGGATTTAAAGATACTCGAATCTTGACTTTGTTCAAACAAACCAACCAAAAAGCTCTTTACTCAGGGCTTCTTTGCTCCTCTAGACTTTCATTTCTCTTTCTCTTCCCTATTGAAGCTGAGCTCTTTGAAGGAGGTATTACATTTCTTGCCTGTTTACTTCATCCAATCCTCAATTAAGATCATTCTAGACTGTTCTTTTTTTTTTTTTGATCACACTCCACAGCATGTGGACCTTAGTTCCCCAAACAGGGATGGAATCCAAACCCCGTGAACGTGGAGTCTTAACCACTGGCCTGGCAGAGAAGTCTCTAGATGGCTCTTTTTGCTTAACTGTACCTAAACAGCTTTGCCAGTATCACCAATGGCCTAACTTCCCAATTAACACATTCGATGAATCTTTTTTTGTTTTCTGTTTAAAACTTGTATTGGCGTATAGATGAGCTACAATATCGTGCTAACTTCAGGTGTACGGCAAAGTGAATCATTTATCCATATCCATATATCCACTATTTTTTAGATTCTTTTCTGAAGAATCCTTGAAAGTACCTGTCCTACTTCATCTTTTTGTGGATTTGGACCACCACTCTCTACTGGAAGGGCTTCCCTTGTAGCTCAGCTGGTAAAGAATCTGCCTGCAATGCAGAAGACCTGGGTTCCATCTCCTAGGCTGAGAAGATCCCCTGGAGAACGGAAAGGCTACCCACTCCAATACTCTGGCCTGGAGAAACAGGACTGAGTGACTTTCACTTTCACTTTCTCTAGGAAACTCTCTGATATCAGATGACCCAAGTATGCAAAAATGGCACATAAAGGCCCCAGATCACATCATCAATTCAAGACATACTTGATTTTTTCAGTACTATATAAATGGCATATATTGGCAGAATTCAAAATAATATATGGGCTAATAAAAATAATTTTCTATTTAGCAAATTACATGAGGTCTTGGGATGCTGCTGTCACTGTCTGGCTTGGGAAGGCCCTGTTTAGAAGGTGGTGGTATTAACAGTCCTAATGATAGTCTGAAATCAGGAGAGTTGACAGGAGTGACAGTAAAGGAAGGAATATTTAGACAGGGAGATGAATCATCAGTACTATGCCAGAAAGAGGATGAGCATCTCTGAAACCTGTGTTGCTCATGATCAGACATTTTGTGCAGCAGCTGGAAAGGAATGACAGAGAAATATACTAAGGAGAAGAAAGAAAACATGGAGGAAAAGAATATATGAAAATGTATTCATTAAAGAATACTGTGAAAATGATAAGTAATTTCAAAACAACTTTTCTAAGATTAAAACAACTGGTTTGAGTAGATGTTTTCCTATGACAGGACCTTCAGATTCTGTGTTCTTTAATTTGATGCTTTTGCACTGAAATATTATTTTTATATATTTATATAAAATACTGCATTCAATATAACTTAAGAGAAAGAAAGTAGAGAGCGCAATGACAAATGCCTGAAGATTTATTTCTGAGAGAGCTTCTTTGTGATGAGATGGGAGAAGGAAAAAATAGCAACAAGAAAAAATGTCAGTGGGAGTAAAATCTAGTAAAAAGTTAAGTCTGTAGAATTTTCAAAAATGGGTGCAACATACATTTTAGATTTAATCCTCCAATCATTCTTTTAAAGTCTTAGTATTAGTAGTATTATACCACTATCATATTAAAGATAAGGGAATCAAGGCCCATGGATTCTTTGTGATTTACTCCTATGTAAGGTAAGAAGCAAAGTCAAAATTCAAAACAATCTGACTCCAGTCATCATGCCCTTTCTATAGGTAGTGAGTTCAAAGTGGTAAAATTTTGGGGGGATGGACAGAGGCATTGTTGAGTGACTTCAAATAAATCAGAGAGATACATAATAATAAACAACTATTATAGCATACTGTACGAGGTCAGTCTTTGGATGACTTTTGGAAGCTATTTTCATTACATCAATGAAAGCTATTGTCAAATACTGAGCTGGATAGAGTTGAGCAGCCAGATGTCAGAGTGGTCAGTTAAAACAACTTCACAAATGAAAGTACATAATAATTGAGCCTTTATTCACTTACTGTGATAGTGTAAGCAAGAGGCCAAAAAGAAAGTGCTGGCTTCATCAAGGTCCCATTCCCCAATGAATGGCACTGGGCAAAGGTCAGAAGCATCATTACAGAAGCAGGGCATTCTCTCTCTCTTGCCAGGGAGCCCTGAACAAAAGGTTCCTTCTGGTTTGGTTTGGATTTGGGGGAGAGGATAGGGGTACAGAGGGAAGATCAGGGAAAAGAACTAAGAGTAGCAGATACTTAAAACTGAGCTTTACTGGGGAAATATCACTAGTATTTCTCTAGCGGAGCAACACCAAGGGATCATTTCATGCAAAGATGGGCACAATAAAGGACAGAAATGGTATGGACCTAACAGAAGCAGAAGATATTAAGAAGAGGTGGCAAGAATACATAGAAGAACTGCACAAAAAAGATCTTAATGAACCTGATAACCATGATGGTGTGATAACTCATCTAGAGCCAGACATCCTGGAGTGCAAAGTGAAGTGGACCTTTGGAAGCATCACTGTGAACAAAGCTAGTGCAGATGATGAAATTCTATCTGAGTGATTTCAAGTCCTAAAAGATGATGTGGTTAGAGTGCTGCACTCAACATTTGAGAAAATTTGGAAAACTCAGCAGTGGTCACAGGACTGGAAAAGGTCAGTTTTCATTCCAATCCCAAAGAAAGGAAATGCCAGAGAATGTTCAAACTAGTGCACAACTGCACTCATCTCACATGCTAGCAAAGTAATGCTCAGAATTCTCCAAGCTAGACTTCAATAGTACATGAACCGAGAATTTTTAGATGCTCAGGCTGGATTTAGAAAAGGCAAACTAGAGATCAAATTGCCAACATCCGTTGGACCATAGAAAAAGCAAGAGAATTGCAGAAAAACATCTACTTCTACTTCACTGACTGTGCTAAAGCCTCTGACTGTGTCAAACTGTGGAAAATTCTTAAAGCGATGAGAATACCAGACCCTCATATCTACCTCCTTAGAAAGCTGTGTGCATGTCAAGAAGCAACAGTTAGAACTGGACATGGAACAACAGACTGGTTCCAAATTGGGAAAGGAGTAGATCAAAGCTGTATATTGTCACCCTGCTTATTTAACTTATATGCAGAGTACCTCATGAGAAATGCTGGGCTGGATGAAGCACAAGCTGGAATCAAGATTGCTGGGAGAAATATCAATAACCTCAGATATGCAGATGACACCACACTTACGGCAGAAAGCGAAGAGGAACTAAAGAGCCTCTTGATGAAATGAAAGAGGAGAGTTTAAAAAGCTGTCTTAAAACTCAACATTCAGAAAACTAAGATCATGGCATCCAGTCCCATCAGTTCATGCAAATAGATGAGGAAACAGTAGAAACAGTGACAGACTTTATTTTCTTGGGCTCCAAAATCACTGCAGATGGTGATTGCAGCCATGAAATTAAGACGCTTGCTTCTTGGAAGGAAACCTATGGCCAACCTAGACAGCATATTAAAAAGCAGAGACATCACTTTGTGGACAAAGGTCTGTATAGTCAAAGCTATTGTTTTTCCAGTAGCCATGTGTGGATTTGAGAGTCAGATCATAAAGAAAGGTGAGTGCCAAAGAATTGATGCTTTTGAACTGTGGTGTTGAAGACTCTTGAGAGTCTTTTGGACTCCTAGGAGATCAAACCAGCCAGTCCTAAGGGAAATAAATCTTGAATATTCATTGGAAGG